TAGGCGGTGACGATGGCCCTCGGTGGCTCGACGAACGCGGTCTTGCACCTGATTGCGGTCGCCCGTGCGGCCGGCGTGCCGTTGACGATCGACGATTTCGACGCGATTGGCGAGCGCACGCCGTACATTGCCGACCTCAAGCCCAGCGGCAAGTTTGTCATGGAAGATCTGCACAAGTACGAGATGCGCGTCGTGTACGAAGCTCAGTATGATGGTGTAGCGTCGGCGGGATTCCTGCGGTCGTCAAGTACCTCCTCGAGAAGGATCTGCTCCAGGGCGATGCGCTCACCGTCACGGGCAAGACGCTCGCCGAAAACGTGGCAAACCTCCCGAGCCTCTCGGACAACGGCCGCATTATCCACGCGGTCGAGACGCCCATCAAGGCCTCGGGCCACATCCGCGTGCTGCGGGGCAACGTCGCGCCCGAGGGCGCTGTCGCCAAGATCACAGGCATGGAGGGCCTCCACTTCAAGGGCGTGTGCAAGGTACAAACGTTCTCTATCGCGTCCAAGTGGACGAAGGATCGATAGGTCTTTGACAACGAAGAAGATATGCTCAAGGCGCTCGAAGATGGCGAAATCACCAAGGGCACGGTGATTGTGATTCGCTACGAAGGCCCGAAAGGCGGCCCGGGCATGCCCGAGATGCGTACGATACGATGAACTTTCTCGGTGTGCAGGTGCTGATGCTATTACAATGACTAGTCACGTGCACGTCGGCGCTCTTTGGCGCTGGCCTCGCCAACGATGTCGCCATGCTGACCGACGGCCGCTTCTCGGGTGGCTCGCACGGTAGAGCCGACGTCGCGTTGAATCTTGAGAGCTCATATATACGACGTAGGCTTTATCATTGGCCACATTACGCCCGAGGCCCAAGTCGGTGGACCCATCGCGCTGCTCCAGAACGGTGACGTGGTCACGATCGATGCAGTCAACAACCGCGTCGACGTCGACTTGACGGAGAAGGAACTCGCGGACCGCGCCAAGGAATGGCGCGCACCGCCGCTCAAGGTCAACCGCGGCGTGCTCTACAAGTACATCCAGAACGTCTCGTCGGCGTCCCATGGCTGCGTCACGGACGAGTAGTCGTAGTCGTATGTAGTAGGACCGTATAAATAAAAAGGGCTGTACCAAGGCCAACTCGTTTATAGCCCCCTAGCATAGCGCTGCTACAACCATGCAGGTAGGAGGAATAACGTCAAGTTGACGCTGCGGACGAGGCGGCGTCCGTCGGTCGAGCGCAATTGGTTGGCGATTGCGCAATATTCCAAGAGTACCGGTAAACGTACTGGGTCTAGCGTCGTGATTACAAATCCCTTTGTCGTTGCGTGCTTCCAGCAGCCCAAGACTGCGGTCGAGCCACAAGCGCGGTGCCGAAAGCCGCGCGACGAGCACATGGCGGCGGCGCTGTTTGGGCAATCACGTTGGCGGCCATGAGAATAAGATCTTGTTTGTGCAACCACGTTGCAGTGTCTGGTCGATCCGGATACGCAGCAGCCAATGAAACGGCCGGACGGGGCATCCTTGGATACGCCATCGTGGACCACAATTCAACTTCAGCCCCAGACGCCAATATGTGGAAGCAGCTGCGCCCGCTGGCCCGCGCCATGAGCACGACGACCAAGAAGGAGGTCAAGATCAACAAGTACTCGGCGATCCTCACGGAGCACAAGAGCCGCGGCGCGGCGCAGGCCATGCT